AAGTAAGATAAAATAAAGTAAAATAAAATAAAGTAAAATAAAATAAAATAAAGTAAAATAAAATAAAAAGTAAGTTTAACTGATTACAGTTTTCTGCAAGCCATGCAAAGAAAAAGGCTCCAGTGGGAGAGAGCGATGGCTTTTGCCGGGCATGGCATTTGGGGCTGTGGAGCAAAGGCTTTGCTGGGTAATTTTAAGAGACTGAGCCCTTAGTGTACTTACTTTGTTATTTCTCATTTTAAAACTCAGCAAAACTACTGTTGGGAGTATTAAGTGAGAAAGAGCCACCTCTCATTTTAATCTTACTTTAGGAAAGGGTGCGTTGGGGGGCGATGTAAATGTTCTAGAATTAGGTAGAAGGACAGCTGTATAAACAACTTTGTGAATGTGCTGAAAACCACAGATTGGTATACTTTAATTTTTTTTTTTAATGTTTATTTATTTTTGAGAAAGAGAGAGAGTGTGAGCAGGGGAGGGTCAGAGAGAGAGGGAGACACAGAATCGGAAGCAGGCTCCAACTCCAACGCGGGGCTCGAACTCACGAACCGTGAGATCATGACCTGAGCCGAAGTCGGACGCTTAACCAACACCACCCAGGCGCCTGAGATTGGTGTACTTTAAAGATGAATGTTATGGTATATGCATTCCATCCAAATAAGGAATATGTATGTACCTCATGTATATGTATGTAGATATGCATATTAGCGTGCTGGGCCGGCAGTAACAAAGCGTAACAGACATTTATCTCCCCTGGCTCTGGAGACCGGAAGTCCAAGATCAAGGTGTGGCAGGTCGCGTTTCTCTGGGGGCCTCTTTCTCTGGCTTGCAGGTGGTCACCTCTTCACTGTGCCTTCATATGGCCTTTTCTCTATGTACATACATCCCAGGTGGCTCTTTCCATGTGACCTAATTCCTTCTTCTTATAAGGGCACCAGTCAGGGGATGAGGGTCCGCCCGACGTCCTCATGTAAATTTAACCACCTTTTAAAAGACACTGTCTTCAAATACAGTCACATCCCAAGGTACGGGGGGGTCTGGGCTTCAACATATGAAATTTGGGGGAGATACAGTTCAGCCCATAAAAATATAAAGTTGACCTTCGAACAGTACAGGGATTAGAGGGGTGTCTGGGTGGCTCAGTCGGTTAAGTGTCCAACTCTTGGTCAGGACCTCACAGTTCATGAGATTGAGCCCCATGTAGGGCTCTCTGCTGAGAGTGCAGAGCCTGCTTGGCATTCTCTCTCTCCCTCTCTCCCTTCCCCTCCCCTGCTCGTGTGCATGCACACACATGTAAGCATGTGTTCGTGCACTCTCTCTCAATATAAATAAACATTAAAAAAAAATGGAGGTTAGGAGTCCTGACACCCCCCAGTCCCCATGCAGTTGAAAATTCACGTATCACTTTTGACTCCCCAAAAACTTAACTACTTACCTCTGAAACTAATGTAACATTGTATGTCAACTATAATCAGGCATAAAAAAAGAATAGGAAAAAAAAAAGTAACTACTAATAATCCACTGTTGACCCGGAAGCCTTACCAATAACATAAACAGCTAGTTAACATGAATTTGTATGTTGTATGTATTATATGCCATATTTTTACAACAAAGTAAGCTAGAAAAAAAGAAAATGTTCAGAAAATGTAAAGAAGTGGGGTGCCTGGGTGGCTCAGTCGGTTAAGCGTCCTGACTTTGGCTCAGGTCATGATCTCGCGGTCCAGGAGCTCAAGCCCCGAGTCGGGCTGTCAGCACAAAGCCCACTTCAGATCCTCTGTCCGCTCTCTCTCTGCCCCTTCCCCACATGCACGTGCACTCTCTCTCAAAAATAAATAAACATCTTAAAAAATTTATAAACAGAGGGGTGCCTGGATGGCTCAGTCGGTTGAGCGTCTGACTTCGGCTCAGGTCATGATCTCACAGTTCGTGGGTTCGAGCCCCGCATTGGGCTCTGTGCTGACAGCCCAGAGCCTGGAGTTTCGGATTCTGTGTCTCCCTCTCTCTCTACCCCTCCCCCACTCGTGCTCTGTCTCTGTCTCTCTCTTTCTCTCTCTTTCAAAACTTAGCACTTGGGGCGCCTGGGTGGCGCAGTCGGTTAAGCGTCCGACTTCAGCCAGGTCGCGATCTCGCGGTCCGTGAGTTCGAGCCCCGCGTCGGGCTCTGGGCTGATGGCTCAGAGCCTGGAGCCTGTTTCCGATCCTGTGTCTCCCTCTCTCTCTGCCCCTCCCCTGTTCATGCTCTGTCTCTCTCTGTCCCAAAAATAAATAAACGTTGAAAAAAAAAAAAAAAATTCAAAACTTAGCACCCAAAATTTTTTTAAAAACTTAGAAAATGTACAGAAGAGAAGATGCATTTACAGCACTGAACTGTATTTTTTGGAAAAAAATCTGTATGTGAGTGGACCCACACAGTTCAAACGCATGTCCGTCAAGGGTCAACTGCACATTTGTATATATGAGAAGTCATCACCTGCAGGAGACGTCAGTAATTGACCGACACACTTTCTGCCTGTACCTGACCTCCACATCCTTGTGGAGGACATACTTTGGACAACCTCTACCAGTCATTACAACTGGCACAAATCAGATTAAACTTTCTAAACTTTTGATCGGAAAGCATTCTTTACACCCCGATCCTTGAGCTTGTAAGCCAGATGTTCATATTCTTTGGTGCATTCTTGTGGGGAGAGGACCCCTTGCTTTCATCAAATTCTCCAAAGTTTAGAAACCTTTTGGAAACTTAAAATCTTGGGTGGGTTCACACGGATAGGGCTCTGGCTGATGTAACACCACAGTGAGATCTGATCCTGACCACAGGGCATTAGCAGATGCCACAGGTTCAGGGCACGGTCTCCAACAAGACCACGCCCACTTCAGACCCCAGCTGCAAGTTTGGGGGTCCCTAGGCCACCTACACTTCTGAGCATCTGGTCCTAAATCTGAGGCTTCCCACAACTCCCTGCAAGTTCAGTAATTAGCTAGAACAACTCCCAGACCTCGGGAACGTCCTGTATTACAATTACCATTTTATATAAAGGGTACTGACCAGGACCAGCCAAATGGCACTCACAAAAGGCGAGGTCCCCATGTTATCAGGGCATATGTCACCCTCCAGCCCCGAGTTCAGTGTCCATGATTATTATTGGGATTCTTTCCATAGGCGTGCTCGATCGGGTCATTGGCCATGTGACTGAGCTCAGTCTGTAGAAATTAGGAGGGTGGGCTGATAGCAGGTGGCTCAGAGCCTCAGCCCTCTAAAGTGGTCAGTCTTTCAGAATCCCACATCATCTCCCTAGCGTAAACTTCGGTGTGATCCAGGGTCCCAACCAGGAATAATAATAACGAAGACGCTCCCGTCACTCGAGAAATAACCAAAGATGAGCGTTTACCTCCCAGGAACCAGAGACAGAGACCAAAGTCTTTATCATATAGCACGGATTCTCAATGCCCTGTTTGTAATGCAGACTTGTCCAGCTAGAGCAGGCCTGTCCTGGAGTCTGTGGCAGGCTGAGGATGTTGGGGAGGTCAGGCTGGCTGGAGGAGGGCTGACGGGCCAGGGGGGACGATGGAGTGGGACGGGTAGTGGAAAACTACTTCGAATCTCCTGACGGGTGTCGTGGGGGTGGGGTGCTGGACCAGGGTTCAATGTGAGTATGGGTCTGTGGGTGAGGCTGCTGGGAGAGGTAATGAGCTCTCCGTCACCGGGGTAACCAAGAAGTGGCCCAGAGGAGACCCTGCCTAGAAGGGAGACCAAAGGCCAGACTCAGGGCACCCCCACCGCAGGTCAGGCGGCCAGTGGATGAGGATTTGCTGCCTTTCCTGGCAGCGGGCACGTGGGCACGTGCCCCAAGCTGGGCTCACAGGGCCTGAGGGAGGAGGACACACGGCCCTGCCTTGGAGCTCAGCCTCAGGGGCCAGAAGAGGCCTCAGGCTACATTTAGAAACTTCTCCACCACTACCTCTTCCCCTTCTTCTTATGGGGAAACAGAGTCCCAGAAAGTGAAATGACGTCCCCACTGTCACCTGCAAGAGTCAGGAGCCGAGCGGGGCTCCCGCTGTGTCAGACGAGACAGCAGAGGCCCTGGTGGGGAGGTGTCTCGGCTGGGGGGGGTGGGGGCGGGGGCCTTTTCTGAGCCCTGCCCGATCCCGCTGTGTGGTCCTGGGCACGTTGCTCAGTCTCCGCATCCTGTGAATGGAGTGATGGAAACAGTGCCAGCCTCAAGGGGGTCGAGAGAGCGCGCCATGACATCTGGGGGGGTCTCTGTGGGGTCTGGAGATACAGGTATTAGTGCAGAGCTGGGGTCAGTCCCCGAGGCCCCGACTGCAAGTGACCCGGCAGCTCTCGGGTGTCAGCCGGAGACCCGGGACCTACCCTGTCGCTCTGAGATCTTGCCGCCTGCTTCTGCACTTCAAACTGGCCCCGTGGGGAAGCATCACAGAACTGAGTGACGATGGGTTGGGGTCAGGCTGGCCTCCCTCAGAGCCCAGCACAGCCCCCCCAGTACCACACGTGGGTCGGCAGGACAAGGGCGAAGGACGGGGACCCCACACCTGGGCTGTCCAGGGCTGGGAGGGCCTGTTGCACAGCTGGGTAAGCTGAGGCCCAGGGGTGCAGACTGAAGCTCTACCAGGAAGGTCCGGAGGGGCCTCAGCGATTGCCCTGCTGTCGTGTTTTCCAGACCCGAGCTGCTCACCGAGGGAGTCAAAGAGCCCATCGCGGACAGCCAAGGTACCCCGTTCAGGGACGCGGGCTGAGGCGCCCGCCGGGCGTGGGAGGGGTCCCAGGTCTCTGCCACCGTCCCTTCTCCCTCTTCCTCTCTCCTGGTCCCGCCTCCCCTGGCGTCCCCCACTGCCCTCTCCACCGGGATCCCCCCCAGAGATACTGCCCCTGTCCCCGGGTCCCAGGAGCTGGCTGTTCACCCTGGCTTCTCTCCTCCCCCTTCCCCGCCCCCAGAGAGGGATTCCGGGGACCCTCTTGTGGACGAGAGCCTGAAGAGACAGGGTTTTCAAGGTAAGGTTGCAGCTCAGGATGGGGTCCGCTGTCCCAGTGCCATGACCTTGACCTGGCTTGGGTTTGGAGGGCCAGGCTGCGGGTGGGAGGGGCTGGCCCCCACCGTCACGGCCTGGGGGTCTGAGTGAGGCTGGCTGGCAGGTGGGGCGGGAAGAAGAGTCTCCCTAAGAGTGCAGGGGGGTGGCAGGGTGCAGGAGCGCACCCACTGTCCCCTATGGGGAGGCGGTCAGCTGTGCTCGATGCCTGAAGCCAAAAAAGGGCGAGGTCCCCAAGTGCAAGGGGGTTCTATGGACAAGGAGAACCGTGGCTGGGCCACGAAGGGGTGAGGGACAGTGAGTGGGGCGGAAGATGGATGGAAGGCGGGAGAAGCTTGAGCAAATGCAGGGGAGAGCCAGAAGCAGGAAGTCCACGTGCCGAGTTGGGACAGCTCCAGGGTGTGGCCGTGAGTCCCCGAGGGTGGGCTGTTCCCCGGGTGGCCCCTGGGTGGTCCCTGCGGCTCTGAGGAGAGAGTGAGGTCAGCGAGACCAGCCCAGGGAGTGGGGAGCCCAGAGATAGGACCCCAATCCCGGGGGGACGGCTGCTCACTGCCCTGTCTCTGTCTCTCCCTCCCGGGCAGCCAGAACTTGGCCGCAGTGAGGGGCGCTCACGACCCCCACCCCACCCGTGACTCCTTGTACCCAGCCTCACAGAGGACTGGGGTCCTCACCGTAACCCACCCCCCCCCCCACCACTCGACCGCCCAGAGGTCCACTCCCTCCTTCCCTCTCTCTCTCCCCGGGCTGTGCCAGGCTGCAGTCTCTCGAGGTCAGGGGCCTGTCTGGGGCCCCCATGGCATGGGCTGGCACATGGGCTCCCTAGCAGATACCACCGGGTGAGGGACCCGGGGTGGCCCTCCCCACCGAACCCCTGCTCCTAGCCTGCTCTTCCTCGTGCCGTCTCTCCCCTCTCAGGCTCATTTACTGGTTTAGTGGTTTTCAAATGTCAACAATTAACTAAATTTCCCACTCATTGCTGTTGTCACAACAGTGTGCGTCCTTCCGGAAAAACCTACATCTCCGTCTAGATGTTAGTTCTGAAGGACTCTGAGGGGCCCGCTCTGAGGAGGAGTTCCCCGTAATTAGGCAATCCTATTCCTTAAAAGTCCCCAAGTGCCTTTTAATTGGACAACCTCAAATCCGTAATTGTTTTTCACTTTGCAGAAAACTACGACGCTCGACTCTCGCGCATCGACATCGCCAACACGCTGCGGGAGCAAGTCCAGGACCTGTTCAATAAGAAATACGGTGAGCCCCGGGGTGCCCAGGCGGAAGGGCAGCCTGGCTGCCGCGGGAAGAGAGGCAGACGCTTCCTGCTGGTAGCCGTGGTCATTTCTGGGGAAACCATTCGCTCGCTCACAGGCATTTCTTGAGCACTTACTATGTGCCAGACGCTGGGGATACGGTAGCGAAGAAAACAGAGGCCCTGCCCTCTTGGGCGCTGTAGACCAGCGGGGTCAAGACTGGGCTTGTAATTCGAGAACTACACACAGGGGTGTCTAGGCGGCTCAGTCGGTTAAGCATCCGACTCTTGATTTCAGCTCAGGTCACGGTCTCCGTGATTCTTGAGTTTGAGCTTCATGTCAGGCTCTGTGCTAACAGCGTGGAACCTGCTTGGGATTCTCTCTCTCTCTCTCTCTC